CCATAAGACCTAGAGACTTGAAATTTGGTAGAAATATTCTTTTTACCGAGTAGAGGTCAGCTAAGAACGGATTTAACGAAATTCCACCCACAAGGGGGGTTGCGGGGGCGTTAAAAAAAATTTCCGTTTTCAAACTATAGCTCCAATAGACTCCAAATTGGGTAGGAATTTTCTGTAAGAGATATAGAAATAATATAGGAACAAATATAACGATAGCTCACCTCACAGGGGTTTCTGGGGGGGCGTGTTAACTATTAAAATTTTTTAATTTCCACGCTCCTATTTTAATTTACACGCTCCTATTTCCACGCTCCTATTTTAATTTACAGCTCCTATAGTCGCCATATTTGGTTGGAGTTTTCTATTTGTGATTAAGAAATGATCTAAGATCGGATTTTACGAAAAATCACTCATAATAAGAATCGCGGGGGTGGGGGTATTAACAATAAAAAATCTTAATTCCGAAATATAGCCTCTAAAAACTTCAAATTTGGTAGGAATATTTTATTTCTCATGTAGAGATCATCTCAAAATGAATTACAATAAAGTCTACTCCCGATAGGGATTGCGGGGGTGGGTGTTAAAATCTAAAATTTTAATTTCCAATCTGTAAATTCTACCTACAGACTCCAAATTTGGTAGAAATTTCTCTGTATAATATCAAGTTCAACTGAGAATGGATTTTCTCGAATTCTAACTCCAATAGGTATTGTGGGGGCATTAACAATGAGAAGTTCCCTTTAGTAATAGTTCTTATAGACTCCAAATTTGGTAAGAATCTTCTATATGTGATGTAAAAATAATCTAAGCAGATTTTACGACGAACCACCTCTAATAAAGATTGCGGGGGTGAGTTAACAATAAAAAAAATCTTAATTTCCAAAATATAGCTTCTAAAAGCTTTAAATTTGGTGGGAATCTTTTATTTGCCATGAGGAAATCATCTCAAAATGGATTTAAAAAAATTCTACTTCCGATAGGGATTGCGGGGGTAGGTGTTAAAATCTCAAATTCTAATTTCCAAACTGTAACTTCTATAGACTCCAAATTTAGTAGGAATCTTTGTGGATAATGTCAAGTTCAGCTGAAAATGGATTTTCTCGAATTCTAACCGTAAAAGTGATTGCGGGGGCGTTAACAATGAAAATCTCCCATTTTCAAACAATAGTTTCTATGGACTCGAAGTTTTGTTGGAACATTTTATTTATCATGTAGAAATCATCTCAAATAGGATCTTACGAAATTCTTTCCCAACATAGGAGTGCAGGAGTGATAATTGTCAAAAAATTCATATTATTCAAATGCAGTTCCTACAGATATAAAATTTGATAGAATCTTAAAAGAAACAGGAAATTACAGGGATGGCCTTCAAAGGTCAACAGATTTGAATATTTTTTTCTTTATGTCAATCATTATTGATTTTTGGAAGATAACCTCGGGAATGTTATAGTGATTGCACATTGAAAGTTACAATGAATTTTAAAGTTGTTTTTATCATGACCGAATTGTATATATATAATGAGTGTTTTCATGCAATCTAAGTCAAATAACTAGTAGATGTTGTTCAAGTCAAGAGATGTATACTTCCATCTTCCCTTATTGGTCGAGAGATATCCTCTCTTTACATAAGTTCGATGGAAATCCATCAAACTTGAATACCATTAAAGCTGTAAGCTTGTAGTATCTATTCGAGTGAAGATGTTAATTAAATGAAAGAAATGAAAGAAAATTATTTTAATGAGAGTAAAGACAGACTTTGAAAAAAGTTACAATGAATATTAGCCAGAATAATCACATGGATAAAACGTACAGGCCAATCCGATGGAATTTGGAATCTGTGCAAATCAAAACAATACTCCAATTAAATTTCAAGTCTAGATCTAAAAATACAATTCTCTCCAATTCTAAATATAATTATATCTCATGTTTCGTTCTCGAGATCACATTGTAGTACTGCCTCGCACACCAATTGTCACCACAAAGTTAAGCTGTAAATAAAATGAAGTTAGCTACGTTATAACGCCGTCATATGTCCAGCTTCATTCTGTTTTTTGTGCGCCTCTTGTCACTACGCACTATTTTATTTCTCTCAATATTAATTTGGAAAAAGTAAGTTAATATTTAATAAAAAATATTATGAGCAAGCGACAAGCTGATTCACCTCTGGATCTTGATTTTCTAAAAAGAAAATTAAAGAAATATCAAAATTTAATAGATGAATTGTCAACTGACAAACATGAAAGTGACATATCTGTCAGATCAGATGACGAAGGTATATGTCTATGCCAATAGGCTAACTTTTTATAATTATTTTCATGATTATTTTTATTCATTAATTATTTATTATGATTAATTTAATTTTTCATAATAAATTCGGGCGATTATTTTATAATAATTCGTACCATTGGGTTAACCCAAAATAAATGAATGAATAAAATATAAATAACCAAAATTAAATTGCTTATAGCAATTTGGGCAATTTTGTACCTTTTTTCGGTTACAAATTGTACCATTCGACTGGGTTATACATCAAAAATAATTTCTTTATTTTTGTCAAAGAATTTATTTCCTTAATAACATTTATAACCCAGATCATTATTGTCTTGTAGCTTCAGTTCATGATGAATTATCTGAGTCTGATCTTGAAAAGAAGACCGTTCCCAAAACGGATTCCGGTAGCAAGGTTCCTCGTACTCCACAAGACAATGACACCAATAATTCTGAAATTATTGAACTACCGGAGAAGGCTCGGGATCTTCTTGGGGTTGAAAAGCGTCGACAGAAAGACCTAAGTTTCGAGTTCCATCCTGAGCTTGTCGCGTGTTGGAAGGAGACTCTCAAAGGGGATGGAAACCTCTACAAAAAAGGAAATTTTAGAAAAATATCCTGATAAATGTAATATTAACCTAAAAGCTCCGATTTTGAATCCAGAGCTTTTGCCGTTGCTTCACAAGTCTGCTGTTGGCAGATATAAGCATCTCGCGTCAAACCAAAATCTCTGTGGCCTTTCCTTGGTTAGTCTCGGGAAAGCGCTGTGTGCTATGTTCTCCGATGATGAAGAACCGTTGGAGAAGGATGACATCTTAGAGTTGCTGTGTGACTCCAGTAACATTATGTGTGAATTAATGTTTCAACTGGAAAAGGCTCGTAAAACTCATGTCTATCAGTACGTGGAGTCTAAACGCAAGACTGTTTTAGAAGAATCTGTCACTGACGAGTTTTTATTCGGCAAGAATCTTTCTAAAAGGATCAAAGATTCTTCTACGGTTGAAAAAGCAGGTTTAACCTTGAAATCCCAACCCGAGCAGAAGACTTTTGTTTCACGGAAGCGTTTTTTAAACTGGAAGAGCCCGGCTACGTCGCGAGGTGGCCCGTCCCAGTCGGGCTTCAACCGGAAACCATTCCAGAAATTTGGCCAGTTCAATCGATCGACACCACCACAAACTCGATCTCTGAGCAAATCCAAGGGCTATCAGTCCCAATCAAACAACACGAAGTAGAGGTTAGTTCTATAGCTGGTCGACTACAATTCTTTTTACGAGCTTGGTCACAAATAACTTCAGATAGTTTTATTTTAGAATCAATATCTGGTGATAAAATACCTTTTTTGACTACTCCAATACAGTATAAAGAACCTCGTAATGATTTATTGTCCGATAATAATGCAATGCAAGAAGCTATTGATGATCTTTTAGTTTTAGGAGCTGTTCAGAAATGTAGTAACGTTAAGGATCAATTTCTCTCCAGTATTTTTCTTATTCCTAAAAGTAATGGAAAAATGAGATTTATTTTAAATTTAAAAAAATTAAATTCTTTTATTGATGTCACTCTTTTCAAAATGGAGGATATTAGAACAGCTTTAAAATTAATTACTCCAGGATGTTTTATGGCTAATATTAACTTACAAGATGCATATTTAATGATTCCTATTCATAAAAATTTTTGGAAATATCTTAGATTTCGTTGGAATGGTCAACTTTATGAGTTTATTTGCATGTCATTTGGATTGAACACTGCTCCGTGGGTATTTACGAAAATCTTAAAACCAGTGATAAGTATTTTGAGAAGTCAAAGTTGGACATCAGTAGTCTACTTAGATGATTGGTGGTTAGTAGCTCCGTCAGAAGAACTGTGCTTAAAAAACATTAGTATGACTATTGAATTATTAGAATCTCTTGGATTTATAATAAATCGATCTAAGAGTACTTTGATTCCTTCTCAATCTTGTCAGTTTTTAGGTTTCATTCTTAATTCAAATTCTATGACTATAGAAATAACTCAAAATAAAAGAGACCACATTTTTGAGTTAATTTCAAAATTTGAAAATATTAAAATTTGTTCCATAAGGGATTTTGCTCAATTTGTAGGCAAAATAACTGCTGCTTGTCCGGGAATAAATTATGATTGGTTTCATTCTAAACCGTTCGAACGAAATAAGTATTTAGCTTTATTAAAAGCTGGTGATAATAACGAAGCATCTATGTACCTATCTCCTTCTTTGAAAAAAGAGTTTGTTTGGTGGAAACAAAATATTTTAACATCCAAAAATATCATCAAACAATCTGCCTTTTATTTGACTATTTTTTCGGACGCATCTTTGATGGGTTGGGGTGCATACTGCAATGGTAAAGTTGCTTATGGCAAGTGGTCTAATCAAGAAAAACGTTTTCATATTAACAGTTTAGAACTTTTGGCGGCATTCAATGGCTTAAAATCATTTGCTTTTGATTTAACAAATTGTGAAATTCTTCTAAAGATTGACAATTCGACGGCGATTGCATATTTAAACAAGATGGGAGGTACTAAATTTCGGGACTTAAATAACATTTCATACGATATTTGGTCTTGGTGTGAGCAAAGACGTTTGTGGCTTTTTGCATCTTATATTTCTTCTCAAGAAAATACGGAAGCTGATTTGGCTTCAAGAGTAGACAATGTCGACACGGAATGGGCCTTGGCCACATGGGCTTATGATAAAATTACCAGAAAATTAGGTATTCCGGAAATAGATCTGTTTGCATCAAAAATAAATACTAAATTCAGTCTGTATTGTTCCTGGCATCAAGAACCAGATGCATTTTGTATTGATGCATTCACTTTAAGTTGGAAAAATTTTTATTTTTTTGCTTTTCCTCCTTTTTCTCTAATCTTGAAAGCTTTACAAAAAATTCAAGTTGACCAAGCTTGTGGAATTGTAGTGGTTCCTGATTGGCATGCGCAACCATGGTATCCTCTGTGGTTGTCATTATTGTAATCTCTTCCATTATTTTTTCAACCTTCAAATAATCTTTTGCTTGGTCCTGACAGGAAAATGCAGCATCCATTAGCCGCGAAATTAACCCTGATGGCAGGAAGATTATCTGCGAAGCATTCAAGTTGAAAGGAGTAAAAGAAGAGTCTGTTAGTCTTCTCCTCAACTCGATTACTGAATCCACTCTTAAACAATACAATAAACCTATTGTAGATTGGTATTATTTTTGCAAATCTCAAGACTTGAACTTATACAAGCCAACTGAGGGTCAAGTTGCGGACTGGTTGTCTGGAAAATTTCATCAAGGTGCTTCTTATAGTTCTCTCAATACTTGTCGTTCGGCTCTTTCTTTAATTTGTAGAGAATATATTGGACAGAGTCCTTTATTATCTCGTCTGTTAAAAGGGATTTATAAAGAAAAACCCAGTAAACCTAAGAACAATAAAATTTACAGTCTTGATCCGGTTATTAATAAATTAGAACAAATGAGTCCGCTCAGTGTTCTTAGTTTACCAGAATTAACTAACAAGTTATTAATGTCAATGGCCTTAATTACGGCGCATCGTAAACAAACTCTATCACTTATTAAACGATCAAATATTAAAAAAGTTCAGAACGGTTATGAAATTCAAATTCCGGATTTTATTAAGACGTCAAGACGTAGTCATCATCAATCTCTTTTTATTCTTCCTCGGTTTCCTAAAAATAAAAATTTGTGTGTTGCTTCAATGTTAGAAGCTTATTTAAAAGTTACATCTGATTTGTTGATCAATGACAAAATAGAAGCTTTATTTATTACAACAAGACAACTTTTTAGAGCAGCTTCAAAAGATTCTTTGAGAAGATGGTTGAAAATGTTCTTATTTAACTGTGGTATATCAAGTGAATATACTCCTCACAGCATCAGACATGCTTCTACATCATCAGCTTTAGCTAAAGGAGTCGATTTCTCCGTTATCAAGAATCTTGCTAGCTGGTCAGAAAACTCAAAGGTTTTTGTGTAATCGAGCAAGGTCGCCGAAGGCGACCGAAGCTCGATTATAATTATATTGATAATTTGGTTCGAAGAGATCACTCCCACCCATCTTTCACCCTCCCAGTGATCTCTTCAAATTAAGCTTTAGCTGAACCGTATGAGGATAAATAAGACGGTTACCTGGGAAACGCTTTATATTTGTTTTTACAGTTGAACTTTGTGATGTGAATATGCGTACAAAGGTGGTACTACCTAGTGATCTCTTCGAACGAAATTATCAATATAATTATAATCGAGCTTCGGTCGCCTTCGACGACCTCGCTCGATTACACAATTATATTTCAAATTTCGTTCTCGAGATCACTAGGTAGATGTTCAGAGCTGTAACATGTAAATTAAATATTAAGTAAGGAACAATAAAGTTCAATTAAAGAATT